GAACGAAACGTTGGTGCGAGCGAGAGCGACTTGGTGCGAGCAAGAGCGACGGTCAAAAAATGGGGATTCTTGCCGTATCTTTAAGGAAGTAAGATTACATTATTATATTATATTTACAGCGAGTGAGAAACCCGTTGGAGCGAGAGCGACAGCGCGCACGCGGGAAGAAAAAACGCACGAACTCCCTCAATCGCTCGCCCGCTCTCAAGCTCGCCGGATCGTCGTCGTCGCGACGCGTCACGCCGTGCCGTCACCAGCTCACACACACACATGCGCCCGTGGGGACGGGGGCCGGGGAGGAAAAATGCGAGAGGTGGTGGGAAGCCAAAGCAGCTCGCTCATTGGCTGCCCCCCGCACCACAATACCCCTCTCGCCCAGTTTTCTCCCCGGCCCCTCACCTCGCGGATTGCCCCATGGCTTAGAATATACATTGATATGCTACTATGGAACTATATATAGAATCCTCATTATTTGAGACTTTATAAGACTTCGTATGGAAAACACGGAATTTTCAGATTTACGTATTTCCTGACTTCAATCTTCGCAAATCTGTTATAGAACCTTCTCGATAACTTTATAACAATTTATAATAATTATTGAATGGTTTCTAATAGGCAAGAATTATTATGACAAAATTTAAAAAATTTAGTATTTGATTTTTTTAGGGAAATAAAAATTATTTTGCAAGAAAAATATTCTTTAATAATGTAAGGTACAACCTCCGCACGTTTAAGCTACAGAAACGCTCCTGAACAAGAGCATCACGTGAGCGCCCGGCGGCTCGGCCGTCGAACCTCGAGCGATAGTGGCGCGCCGATCCGAAATGTGCAAATCTTTGCGACCACTGATGTACATAACTATGATCGCATATGTTGCTAATAAATTCCGAAAAGACCTGTGAGCATTAGTGAGTACAATCTTCTCCTGTCCCAACAAGATCCTTAGCTCCCCGCACGTGTGCGTCTCTAAACCTATTAAACCCTACAATTCTCAGAAGTGGGATTCAACGGTGCGGTCGCATGAGGATCGGTGTGACTCGCGGAAAGCAGCCATCTTGCTCAAGAGGTGCACGGAGAAGACGATCGCATTCGGCTGTGTGCGTTCGAGAACATTTCCGCTCGTTCGGTTGTATGCGTTCGAGAGCATGTTCATTTCGACTGTGTGGGCGAAGTTGTACGCCGTTGTTTGCGAGTAAACAAGCGGTCGATAGGTTCTACTGGCAAATCGCGGCATCGCAAATATCGATGCGACGAGCAATCAAAACATTTCATATAAATGTGTGTCATATAAATGATAAGTGTGTGAGGTGATATTACGAACAATGAATGCGCAGAACTTAAAAGTGATCCAATTAAAGAATACAGCAGTGTAGACTGCCGGATAAAGGAAGGAAGGCGGAGTTGATCGCTAGGCTAGATGTAGTCAATCCAACCCGGAAGTGAGTAGAAGAGGCAATAGAATACGTAACCGACTATGCGCAGGAATCGGAAGATAGCGAAGAAATGGCGGGCGTAGTGTATGCGCGGGGATCGATGGCAGAAGAGCGCATCTGTCGATTTGAGAAAGAGCTACGCGAGATACTGAAATATGCAAAAGAGATACTGGAAAAAGAAATCGACATGTTAAGACGCGAAAATGAACTGTTGTTGCGTGCCTTGCCACAACAAAATACGGCATCAACGACCTCCTACGCGGGGGGTAAGCATTAAAAATGTCGAAGAGTTGCTAGACAATTATAGCGAATCCAGTAAAGATTTAGGGTGAAATCACACGGTACGGAAAAGGGTTACGGAATAGAGAATGCGTCATTAAAACAACCAATTAGCACTATTCGGAATAACGCAGAAAAACGCTGATTGGTTGCTTCTACGCGTTGACGCGTTCTCTTCCGCAATCGTTTCCCGCAGTCGTGTGATTTCACTCTTAGAAAGATGGAAAGAACAAGTGTCCATCTTGAAGGCGGCTTATGAACTGGACGAGAACGCGGTCAAAATCTTGATAGGATCGAAGCTAAAAGGCAAGGCGTTGGAATGTACCGCTCACGAATAGAACATTTAAGATATGACGTTAATTAGATTTTTCAAGAGATGCAAAAGATATTCCACTACCCGGTTGAAAAACTTGAGAGAAAGAAAACATTCGAGGCACGTGAATGGCAAAAAGATGAATCATTCGGTGAATATTGTCACAATAAAATAATACTAAAAAGTCAAATCCTTGTGCCAGATGACGAGATAATAGATTACTTGATCAATTAAATTCCTTCCGAACAACTCAGGACGCAAGCAAAAATGCACTCTTTTTCATCGGTGGAGGAGATTGTCAAAGCATTTAGTGAAATGAAATTAAAATCAGATCATATAATAAAAAAGGAAAGTTAGTGAGATAAGAAAAAATTGGAATCTAGGAGATCCAGCGACCTAGATGAAGAGGTCGCCAACGTTGTCACGCCGGAGAGCGGTAAAGTGTTACCAGTGCAACGAGAATAGCCGAGAAACGGGTGAAAAAGAACGTCAGCCAAGAAACAAATTGGATTAGTAACGGACAAAAATGAAGTCTGATAACGAAAGTGGAAATGATTAGAAAGAGAAGAAGGAAGAATTATATTTCGTGGATGTCAGACCGGAAGAGGAGGATGAGTTCCTGCGGTCAGTAAGGTGCACTTTGCGAGCAAGCGTTAGTATGCTGGGCGAGAGTTGATATAGGGTCTCCGGTCAGCCTAGTCAAGGCCAGCGTAAGTTCAGCGCTTCTCAAAGGTGGACCAGAAATGGAACAGGTACTACGGTGTAAATGAGTCAAAGCTTCACGTAATTGGGAGTGTAAAAGTCAGTATTTTAATAGAAAATGATATAGTTCATAATTTTAAAATGATATAATTCATAGTATACAGGGTGCGTCACCAAAATTCGGACAAATCGAACAATTTCTTTAAACAAAACGTTTTTTATGAAAAATTAAATATTACAAAAAATTCTTTTGTAATATTTAACATTACATGGCATTTGGGGGATCCCTGTAGAGCACAATTATCGATATATCCCCCATTAGCTTGAATAACGCTTGAACGACCTCTATTATCGGTCTGAAACGTTCGCACGCACGTTGTAATATAGCGCTGTCCATGCCGATGAAATGCTGCCTCAGCATAGCGGTCCTTAATGACGTCACATTGAGATGCCGAGACTTGTTTGTGACCCTTTTAACTATGCTCCATACATAGTAGTCCAAGCGATTTAAATCTGGGCTGTTGAGAAGCCAGAATGGGAGCCAAGGCGAGCAACTCGGCTTGTCACGTAGCCTCAAAGAGTATCTGTCGTATCTTTAATGTGTACGATTTGTATTGAAGATCCTCCTCGGCAATTCGACACATTGTTGGCTCGCTTACACCAACAATCGCTAATTTTCGCAACGATTGCCCTGGGTCATCCGAAATCAGCGCTTGAACCCTTTCAACGACTGTGAGAGTCCTCGTGATGCGTTTTTTCGAATGACTCTTTCTCGCTGGCATACTGGAACCTTCGTTGAACTGTTCTAAAACCGTATATTTTGCCACAACGTCATAAACGATTGATTGCGGATATCCGAAGAACCGAATTATTTCCGTTGCTGAGCATCCAGCGCGAAGGCCTTCGATGATTGCGGCTGATTGCTTTGATTATACTCCGCACTTGGTTTCAACATCACGGGCATTTTAAGATTATGACTGTTTACTAGAAGCATCAGGCTTTCTCGGACACCAATAACAACCTCTGGCGGAGGCACAATATAGCAGAAAATTTAAATTAAAATTTATTCGGATTTTGGTGACGCATCCTGTAATCTTTGAGGTGATGTCAGATGAAACCATATCGGTAACGATGTAATTGAAAAGAGACGCTTTTAAATTGTTTCGATATAAACTCACGAATGTTTCGGAATATTATGAGGCTGTAATGATAATATTTAATATAGATGAAGCGAAAGATGCTGTTGTTAATAGAATTAAGATTAATACCAAGTTAGAGCGAAAAGATTTATTAGAGTTGCCAACTGTTATCAACAAGTATTATATCTGGCCCGAGCACTCGGCGGAATCAAAGATTAGAGCGGAAGCCGTTATAAGCTTGAAAGAAACACAGTCAATCCAGTTTGATCCTCGATGATTGAATTATGTTAATAGAGAAAATGTTAGTAAAATTCTTGACAGT